TTTTAGTTTTATTTTAGGATTCCCTATTTTTAATGTTCATACAGAGATTTCTTTAACTGAAATACCGAATAGTTTCTTTGGTGTGAAAAACTATAATAGTACACAGGATCCTAATGAGACAATTAATAATGTGAAATAGGAAGTAAAGGGCTAAAGGTGTAAGGAAAGTGGGAAGGGTGGGGGAAAGGTAATAAGGGAGAGGAAAAAAATATGAGAAACTGAAAAAATGGAAATAAAGTGTTTGTAAATGGGGAGGGAAGGAGGGGGTGGAGGAGGGCAGGGACAAGGGGAAAAATGAGAATCAAGACCTGTCATGCAAAGGTACAGAATCCCAATGATGAATGTAATTGTACTGTATACCTAGATTGTACCAATAACCTCAATAAAAAGAAAAAAAAAAGAAAAGGGGGAAAAGAGAAAGATATCGCATATTCATGGAATAGAAGATATAATATTGTTGGCAGTACTTCTCAGAATGATGTACACATTTAACAAAAACAAAAAATGCTTTGTTTCTTTTTTATAGAAATTGACAAGATGGTTATAAATTTCAAATGGAAATACAGTGGCCTCAGAATCCAAAATTGCTTAAACAATCTGAAAGATGACAGCTGAAAGAATCATACTTCCTGATTACAGAACTTAACAATACAATGCTGAAATAACCTAGACAGTATGGCACTGGCAGTAGAAAAGGCATACTGATCAGTGGAATAGAATCAAGAACCCAGAAATAAATCTGTACATTTGCAATCAGTTGATTTCTAACAAGGGTAGCAAGGTAATCCAATAGGGGAAAAGTACAGGCTTTTCAACAAAGGGTAGTAGGACACTGAATACACTCATGCAAAAAAGCAAAGATGAATCCTATTCCACACCATATACAAAAAATTAAATTACAGACCCAAATAAAAGAGGTAAAACTGTAGAGCCTTTAAAAGAAAACATGGAAGTAAGTCTTTATGACCTTGGATTAGATAGTGCTTTCCTAGATGACACCAAATTATGAATGACAAAAGAAAAAAATTGGACTGCATCAAAATTAAGATGTTTTTGTGCTTCAAATACTACTGTCAAAAAAAGGAAAAAGAAAATCTGTAACATGGAAGAAAATATTTGTGAGATATATATCTAATAACAGACATGTTCAGAATACTTAAATAACTCTTACAACTCAACAACAAAAAAGACAAATGACCCAACTAAAAATAGACAAAAGATTTGAAAAAACATTTACCCAAAGAAAGATATAAATTGCCGATAAGCACATAATATGGTGTTCAACATCATCAGAAGTGAGAAAACTATACTTCAGAACCACAGCAAGACACTACAGCACTTCATTGCAGATGGCCACTAGGATGGCTAAAACAAAAAAGATAGACAGTAATATATATTAATGAGGATGGAGAGAAATTGGAACCCTCAGATATTGCTGGTGGAACTGTAAGATGTAGCTTCTTTAGAAAAGAGTCTGGACATCTCCTGAAAATTGTACACAGTTATCTTCTGGTCCTATAATTTTGCTACTAGGTTGTACCCAAGAGATACAAATACATATCTACACAAAACTTTGTACATTAATGTTCATAGGAGTATTGGTTATAACAGCCAACAAATGGAAATATCCATCAACTGACAATAGGTAAAATATATTGTTTTTATATAATGAAATACTCAGTGATAAAAAGAATAAAGAATGGATACCACAGTATAGAAAAGTATTGAAAATATTTTGTTAAGTGAGAAAAGTTAGTACAAAAGTTAATCACATATTACATGGTTCACATGAAATATCCAGAATTGGTAACAGCACAGAAACAGCAAGTAAATGTGCAGTTGTCAGGGACTGGCAAGGGGAGGAATGGTGAGTGGTTATTAAATGGCTACAGGGTTTCTTTTTTAGGGTAATAAAAATGCTCTAAAATTAGATAGTGGTGATGACTGTATAGCTCAGTGAACATAGTAAGAACCAAAAAATTGCACACTTTTAAAAGGTCTTTTTGTGGTAGTGAATTTTTTTTGACAAATCCTATAAAAACAGACAATGAAATAAAAAAGGAAAAAATTCAATAAATTTACTGTTTAACAAGTAAGACTTGTTGGGGCCAGGATTTAGCTCAATGGCGCTGCACCTGCCTCGCAAGCACAAGGTCCTGAGCTCAATCCCTCGTACCAGGGGAAAAGAAAAAGAACTAAGGCTTGTTACCTTAAATACATGACAAGGCACACAAACTAGGAAAAATGTGTAGCATATGCTCTATACTTTTAATTTATATTCTACTAAGGAAAAAGAAGACCTCCCAAGATATGGAGTCCTATGGAGGAGTCTCCCAAAGGCTGGGACAGTGAAGAGCTACATCCTTCATAAACTACCAATTTCTGGCAAGGAAGCTTATGTTTGCTACCATAGCATAAGGTTCAAGGAGGTCGAAAATCTCAAAAATCTGAATGCAAGCTAGTATTTACACAGGCTTGCAGTCTGAATAAATACAACTTTATGGTTCATCTTAGGCAAACAAACAACAACCCTGACGCACAGAGTATCTAATTTATAGTGGTCTCAACTTGACAGTAATTTTAATATACCATTGAGAGAGTCAAATGTAAAAAATGTTTTTCTCAGAATAAGGTAAAAAGGGGGTTATATCTTTAATATGTAGATCTCATATAAATCATTTGGAAAAATAATAAACACCCAATATAAATGGTCAAATGTTATGAAAGTCAATTCTCAAAGGAATTACAAAGGACTATTAAACATGAGTAATAGCTGAACCTTACCAGTACTCAAGAAATGCAAAACAAAACTATCAGATAATATTTTTTACTTATCAGAATGGCATAATTTAAAAAGCATGTGCTGGCAGAGGACTAGTAGAAGACAGACCTGTGGGAGCCTTCAGTGGTACAATTCCTCTTGTAGTGATGTGCAGTTTAGTACCCTACCATTCCTTCTTGGAACCTATCCTCAATAAATAAGCCCTAATTTAGATGCAGCGTTTATCTGAAAATATTAGTTAGAAAAGGAGAGACTATATAACTGTCAAATATGGAAAGAATGGTAAAATAGATTATAGCACACTTACACAATTTTAACGTTGTATTACAATTTTAAATGATGATCTTGTAGAATGCTCAAGGAGATGGGAAGCTGTTTATGGTACGCTATGTGAAAAGCTGAGGACATATAGTTAAAATTATAAACCGTGTTACCATTTTTTTTCCAGTGCTGAGGACTGAATCTGGACTCTCACACATGCTAAGCATTCGCGCTTGTCACTGAGCTGTGCCCACTGAGTACTGTTCTACTTGAATTCATAAAGCACCTAAAGACTGGTAGGAAGTACATACAAATATTAGAAGCGGATGTCTCAAGGTTGTGGGATATTGAGTAACTGTCATTGTTTTATTGTATCTTTCAAACTCCAATAACTATTATAAGAAAAATCTGTTCTATCCAAATGTAAAATATGAACATTCTATGTTTTCATTTTTTGTGGATGGCAAGATTTTCTTTGGGGTTATAAAATTGGACATAGAATAAACAGTAACATAAAAATGTGTATAATAGTTATTTTATCCTTTCACACAGTTTAAAAACTTACTGAATAATACCATATATTTATTATAGAAAATGTAAATAAATATTAATATAAGGAAAAATAAAATTCCACATAATCCTTTCATTTGAAATATTTATTATTAATTTTGGGCTTAGTTTGCTTTTCTTTTTCTAATTATCAAAGCTTTGAAGTTAAGATGCTGATTTTATATTTTTCTTCTTTCCTAAACAAAGGACTTTATATATATATATAAGTTTCTCTTTTAGAGCTACCTTTGCAGGACCCTATACATTTTTGGTATGGGCATTTTCACTTTGTCTTTGAGTTTTTCAATATCCCTGTGATTAACCTATCAATAGTTTAAGAGTATATCATTTAATTTTCACATATTTGTAAGTTTTCCAGTTTTATTCTTTATTGATTCATTCCACTGTGATAAAAAAGATACTTCATATGACTTTATATTTTTAATTCACTAAGTTTGGTTTGTGGCCTCCATGGTCTATCCTGCAGAATGTTCCATAGAAATAACCACTGTTCATAGTTTTATATGTCTCATTAGAATTTTGCTGTGCATTTAAGGTACACAGATGGATAACTATACATATGTAAGTAAATCTATATTCACATGACTAACTGTATCTCTAATACATTTCCATTGGTTGCATACTATCCCATTATTTGATTATACCATAATATATTTAACTAATATATTACGTGATTGGACATATAGAAATACTAATTTTTTTCACCAAAGAATAGGGTAATGATTATTAACATCAATTAAAACTTGATTGGGGTACTTAACCATAACTACTATGTGATTACTAATGCAAAGGAAAAAAAGTTTCAAATTCTTCCAATAAAAATCGTACACAGATAGTAAAGTCAGCAACTAAATACTACAAGAAATTTTCATACTGATCTTACCTTGAATTTTCTTGAAAACTCTGGAATTCATAAACTTTAGAAATCTGTCTGCATAAAAACTTGGTCTATGAACTGAAACAGTGTCCTGAAAAGACAAAGCAAGGACCACAGAATTACCTCTTGAGAGCTCAGCTCAAGTCAGAACAAGATCCCTGAAAGTGGTTCTCTGCAGCCACTGTTCTGAGCCAAAGTGGTCATGAGCTATTAAGAGCAAGATTTTTTTTGTCATGGGAGGCCCAGGAGCCTGGGTGGGGAGGAGGGCAAAAACCCTATCCAAACCAAGACTCCAGATACTCAAGGTAAACTGGAGCTTTAGTGGACAGGAGAGATGGCCAGAGGACTCTGCTACATCAAGAGATAGCTGCCCTGTAATCCTAACACTGGGTCCTGGGAGGGGCTTTTCAACTCTGGTTTTCATAGGTAGCCAGTGTCTGCGGTGTCATTGGGAAAGGAGGGCAGTGTTCTTAGCCATAGATAAAAATCGGGGACATAAATAAATAGAACAACTCTAATTTAAGAGTGACAACTCAGATAAAAGTGTTCTGGCTTCAGCTCCAAGAGACAAGGTGAATAGACACTAGGAGGATTCCTAGGAGATAAGGCTAAAGCAATACTGATAAAACAGAGGTGAACTGTTAGGTCTTCTCTCCTGCTGGGCAGGACTCTTTGAAACTGAAAGGTCATTTTACTATAAATCTAAGAAAGAGAATAGAAGAATGAATGGATTGTCTTTGTTTATTTAATAAGCAATTATTGGCTATTCAAGTTGTATATTTCTACAAATAGTAAATTTGCTTATAGGCATAACATTCCATTTTGAGTTCAAGTTTATGGATTCCAAAAGGGAAATTTCTAAAAATTTAAGTTTAGATGCTATAAAGTGCCACCAGTGGGGATGGAAAACAGCAACAACAACAACAACAAATAAAACAATACATGTTGGAGTAGGAGTTAGGAGACCTGGTTCTGCTGTGAGTTCTAACTCTGAAAGGTTGTGTGATCCCAGGAAAAGCTACAGACTCAGGGGCTCAGTTTTTTCATCTGTGAAACTGGGTGTATAGTAGGCAGGATCTGTAACTCTGTCATCAGCACATGAGGAAGGACACAGTATGCACAGTCCCTCTTTGGCATGTTCTAATGGTCCTCCCAACTCCTGCAAGGCTATGACATGGCAGAACATTTACTCCTTGTGTCATATTCCTTGGTGCAATATGCACGCTCCCCAGGATGCTGGGCGTTTCTGCCTGAAGTGGACATCTTCTCATAACAGTAATTTGGACATATCAGTAGACTGTAAGGAGTATCTGCAGATGACTGACACATAGCTTTGGCCTTTAAAGGAGTTCCATTCTTATTCTCTTTAGTATGAAGAAACACTGTCTAAATAAAGGTCACATTTGTAAACAAACAAAAATAAGACTTGATTATTGCCTGTTGTCACAAATGTATAGTGAGCTCAGAGATTTTCTAAAACAACAACCAAATATAAAAAGAGAAGATGTGTTTTAAGTAGAGAAAGGTGGGTCTCAGAGAAACATCTGGTCCACCCAGGACTGGTCCACTGAGATCAGAACTCTCACTGGGTAACAGGGAATGGAAGTCATTTCAGCAAAGTGCAGAGATGGAATGTAGGGAAATGATGGAGGAGCAGGTGTGTTTGCTCTCTTTCCCTTCCGTGTTCAAGGTACTACACTGTTCCTAAAATTGACTTACCATCTTGCACTTTTAGGACAAATCTTTGATCTGAATAAGCCTGAGGTTACTTCTTGGAACCAAATTTGTGAGCCTGTTGTTCATAAGTGCATTTTGGTAGAGGTCTGCCCTTAGCCCACAGACAAAATACAGATCTTTCAACAGCCTTAATCTTTCCAGTGCCTTTAAAAAGAGTCCTCTTTTTTCTCCCCTTTATCTCATAATTGGGGTCTTTGCATTTCACACAGAAATAACCACCACTTTGCTGTCCTGGCTGTCACATGGCCAGGAAGTTGGATGTCATCTATTTGAATAACTATTCAAATTTATGTGTTTTATGTTCTCAGATCTGGACCATCGTGCTAGCCTAAGATTCTGAGCTATAAAAACCTTTGCTCCTCTCTTACAGTCCAGTGATACAGTTTCCCAAACACACTCAGAAGTCTAAGAAATCAACACACACAGTTTAACAAGAAACAGAAGTCACCTACCCCATCGTACACAAGAGCTTTCCATGAATGTTCTAACTTCTTCATTAACCTAAATATAAATGGAAAAATAACAGTAAGAATGCAAAACCACTCATCCTTGGTAAATTTTCCAAGACATTTTTGGACTGCTTTTGAAATAAAAAAAAAAAAAAAAGGCCACTTCTCAAAATTTCTCACCTATATGATTGTAGAATGTCAATAATGCCCATAAATAAAAGTAATTTTTCTCCTTTATGGCTTTTAGCTGGAATGCCTCCCATTCTGTTGATAGGACAAAAAAAGAACATGCATTATTACATAAGTATGGAAAGTTAAAAATCAGTTTAGATAGACTGAAAATAAATATACTGAAGAGTTGTGGGCAGTGTCCTCCTTCCCTGTCTTTCTTTGCTAACTTTTGCATTAGTTAATGAGTCTTCCTGGGAATCCAGAATCATGAGCTTCCCCACAGAGGAGAATAGTACCAGGGCTGTCAACTCAGAATAGCGGATGGGAAGAATTCAATTTTTTTAAAACCTGCTTTTAAAAATGCGATACTTTTTTTTTTTTCTGACAATGTCTACTGTGGTATTTTTATGAAACAAAGAAAAGCACACTGAAGAAAATATCTAACAATTCCATTTCCACAGCGACACTAATTAACATTTGATTCCTCTTTCTAGTATGTGGGTATGTTAATCTACAAAGGAGATTATTTACCATGTTTTATAACCTGAATTTTTTACTTGGCTAAACAATAACTATTTCCTCATATTCAGTAGCAAAGTGATTTTTAAGAGCTGTGTAGTAGTTCATCATACATACACAGATTACTTTGTTCAACTGATTATTGAACATTTAGTTGGCATTTTAAGCAAGGATTAGAAGATTTCATATGTGTTAATTTTCTCCAGAAAAATGAAATATTCTTGTGGCTTAGTCATTGTTAGAGAATCCTAGAAGGTAGATGCTTATGGCCACAGACAATAATTTCTTTTTTTTTCGGTCCCCTTGCTCACTGGTACGCACATATGATGTACTTCACATTTTCAGTGATTTTTACTGGTTACAACTGTTTCTGTTGTTAGTATTCACTCTATACAAACAAATTAATCCTGGAGCCACTATTACATCTGGCTTAGATGAAAGACCACATCTGCCAGCGTGCAGGACTAGATCAACAGAATTCCTTTATGTAGATAAAAAACTCTGTATTGTGAACATCATTCCTATCTAGTATTTGCTTAGATACACATTTATTCAAATCCAAAGTTTATTCTTCCCTCTTATGGCAGATGTTTTGAATATGTAGTAAATAGGGGTAAAAATATTTTCAGCCATTGTTAAAAAATAGAGCCATCTGAGAAAAGAAACCATGTGGGCGAAAGAGTAACAGTGACTCAGGAAACGGCCCCTCATCTAGTTATCCACGTATACACAAAGGCTGGCTCACTTCAGTTTGGCACCAAGCGGGACTCCATTGCCAGGTGCCTCCTCAGGTAATGGGGGATGTGAGTGCAGGTAACGACCCAGGGATGTGGCTGTCCTAATCAGGTGTGTAGCTATACTTACGTGTCTGCATTCTCTGCAATGATCCCATCTCCAGGCTTCCCTGGACCCTGGATGGATTCCATGGCTGTGGAGTAGAGGACTTTCTGCATCCCAGGCCGCTTTGCATCAGGCACGTTCTGTGAGAACTCCTCTTCTTTGTCTTTAAGGGAATGGTCCAAGATGTGGATTCCCAGCAAAAGGCTGTAGTCCATGATCTTGAAGCTTTCCAGCACCTGAGAGAGAAAAAGAATCAGGCGATCAGTCAACCCAAATGGCATAAGTCTCATGTGCACAGAACCAGAGGGCCCTATATATGCAGACATACTTCTCCTGTATAGCTGCTGTGGAATGAAGGAGAGGAAAATTCAAAATAAAAACATTTGAAATTATTATTAGGCTACAAGCAGAAAGGACTATCACAGGGACAGCAAGATGATTTATGCCAATCTAAAGCAAGTATCTTTTCTTGACGTTCTATGAAATTTTACTGAACCCTTCCCATGTGCCAGGTATAAAGTACCTCACTTGAATTCAATCCCTACAACAACCCTATGAACTAGATACTATTACTGTCTATACTTTATAGATGAAAAAATCAGGACAAGGGAATAAGTAATCTGCTAAATAACATACTCAGCATGTAAGTGATAGAGGCCCAAGGGATCAATTCTGGCATCCACACTCTCAATAAGCACCAGGGTAGGGAAACTAACAAATAGTCTGAAAGTTTGTACCTTCGTCAACGTGAAGACCCAGTTGCAATATGTTTTTGCCTGGAATCTATTTAAAAAATCCTAATTTTGCTGAGTTTAGTGGTCTCCTTTTCAAAGCCAATCTTTCAAAGTTGCCATTCATTTCCCTGTAGCAAGTCCTTTAAAAACAGACAGTCCCACTGTAATTGACAATGTGAAACAGGAAGAAAAGGGCTAAATGTGTAGGGAAAGTGGGAAGGGTATGGGAAAGGTAATAAGAGAAAATTGAAAAAATGAGAAAATGAAAAAATGGAAATAAAGTGTTTGTAAATGGGGAGAGGAGGAGGGGGCAAAGGGAGGGCAAGGACAAGGGGAAAAAATGAGAGCCAAGATGTCATGTAAGGGTACAAGATGCAGTAATGAATGTAACTGTACTGTATACCTAAAATGTACCAATAAACTCAATGAGGAAAAAAAAAAACAGACAATCTCAACCAAGAATAGGACTTAACACTTAATTGTCCACTCAGCAGACAATGTGGAGGTGAAAGAATTAAAAACATTTGGATGCAGCCAGATAAAGACAGAAATGCCCCAGATCAAAATGCTCCAGATCAAAAATGACATGGAAAAAGACTAGATAAAAATCTGTCAAAATGGCTTTGGAGCACAGGGGTCTTTGACACTCTGGACCCTGCTTGGATGGAGAAAGAATATTCAGAAAGAGTGCCTGGAAACTGGGTGTTTTCCTCTATGAAAATTATTTTTTGACTAGTTTGTATATGACTTTGTAGTACCTGGCATTTGTCACACAAAGCTCAGGAAATCAAAGTGGCCTAGAAAGTAACACAATCCTGGTTGGCAGAATAGCCATTTTGATAATTCATCACGAGTCACTCCTCACAGTGGTTGAAAGACTAGAGGTGCTAACTAGAAGGAAACCTCCAGAGCTATGCTTCTGAAAACAAAAATTTCCTAAAAACAACAAAAATGTAATGCATTTCTAGCCTACTTGCCAGTGTCATCTGGCAAATCCTAATTTCTTTAAAAGCTCTGGATTCGTGGGTATCCAATAGAATTGCTTGCCTCCAGCACTGCAATCCTGGCCATTGGATCTAAAATTACTGCCTCATAACCTGTATGCAAAACAGCCCCATTTTTAACCAGCAAAAATATACATCTTGTGCTTTGCATAATCTCCATAGTACCCATTTGTAAATATTTCCTCCAAAACAGTAAACGGGCTTCAAAAGCAAGTTCTAATCAGACTCTGTGATAGCACTGTGGATCTTCCTAAACAACATCCAGAATAATTTACTCAAGCTATAATTGATCAAGGTTGGAAGGCATTTCTGAGGCCATCCTATTTATTTCATTTCTTTTCTTTTTTCTTTTTTGGTATTGGGCTTGAACTCAGGAACTTGGACTTGCAAGGCAGGCAGCATCACTGAGCTAAATCCCCAGCCCTCATTTACTTCATTTTCCTCTGCAATGTAGCCACAAATTAATTGCTTTCTTTATAAAACATTTTTAAAAATTTTTTCAAGCAGTGTTCAACCTAAACCGGTTTGTATTTGCAGTCTCTTGTTGCCCACAGACACACCAAAGAGACCTGTGCACTCTGTGAGAGGAAGTTAGGCTGTGGCCCACCATAACTACTGGATAAAATAAGAAACTATCCTGTTAAGTAGTCAGATATTTTGGGAGGTTTATTTTTCTTAAAAAAATATCCTTCATAGAGAGAAGAGTAGCAGTTACAAGAGCCTGGGAAGATGTGTGTGTGTGTGTGTGTGTGTGTGTGTGTGTGTTGTGTGTGTGTGTGTGTGTGTGTGTGTGTGTGTGTGTGTGTGTGTGTGTGTGTGTGTGTGTGTGTGATGTGGGATGGAGAAAGTATGCACACAGGTACGTACAGGTGTGCATTTTATAGGAGGAATGAATTCTAACGTTTGAAAGAAAGCACAGCAAAATAACTATTAAGTAAGAGATCTACTAATTATGTATTTCAGCTAGAAGAAAAGATTTTGAATACTCCCAATACAAAGAAATGTCTGAAATGAAAGATATCCCAATCACTCTGATGTAATCATTATAGGTTGCATACATGTAACAAAATGAAATACCATATCCCACAAAATGTACAATTACCATGTGTCAATTAAAAATTAAAAATATATTATAAAAGGAACCTTCAGGGCAGAGCACAGAGCTCAATAGTTGTGCATTTGCCTAGTATGTACAAGGCCCTGGCTTCCATCCCCAGCAGCACTGCAAAAACAAAAACAAAATAAACAAAACCAAACCCTTAAATTGGTTTGCCAGGAAAAGTACTAAATTATCCTCAGGAGATCAAGGCTCCTACTTCCAGAGTGAAAGTCATAAAAAACAAGTTGTATAACTGCTGCGTGAAAAGTTGACCTCTACAGTGAAGGGTTTTGGTTAGGCAAAATCACCATCTACAAAAAAGTTAAGAAACAAAAAGATAAATATATATGCATATATTTAAAATTTAGAAACCTTTGTAATGACAAATTCTGGGAACATATTTTAATCACATATTTTTAAAGAGTTGCATAAATTAAGAACATAATTCTCTAATTTATATCCTCAAGTTCTTTGATTAAAGGAATTGATAAATCTGCCAAAAACTTAAGATATATGTTGCAATACTGTGCGATATGATGGGCTTTTCAGTTTGTCATTTCTGGAATGTCTGCCTGATCTCACAGTTGCTGGAAGATTCTGTTCCTGTACATTTGCCATTCAAAACACAAGTTACAATGCAAATACAGGTGCCTTTCCATTTAGTTTGGGCAGTATTTACTTCCTCACTTGCAAAGTAAAAAAACAGAAATCATTCCCAAAGCTACATAAAACTGGAAGCAAGATGGAATACTGTAATGCTTTTATTGTCAAAGTCAGGTATGTTTCCTTTCCCCTAGCACTATTTTATAAGTGATTAGTATCAGTGGAATGCATACTTGAAATACTGGGTAGTATTTCAGCAGTCTAAGTAAGAGCTAATGATATTTGAAAGAAGCAAGGCTAATATAGGAGTATGAAGCAAAGTAGGCAGATCTGAAAATCTTTCAGAGGTAGATTCCACTACCATCTTTCTAAAGATAATTGCTAAATTGTAATCTTTGCTTTGATCTTTTCCTCAGCTTCACCCCTATATATTCCAGTGGGTTTCTTGACACTTCTGAACTTCTATGCATGGCCATACTGCAATCTAAACTTTTACTTTGGCCCAAAGTGAGTCTTTCTTGTCACTTCCTATTTTTATTTGAAATTACTCTGATGTGGATTTCAGATTCCATGACTCCTTCCTTTTTCTTTTCACAAAGTTGCCCAGTTCTACAAGCTTCTATTTTCCAGACATCACTCCCCACACAGCTTGATGAACCGACTTCCATTTTCCTTTTGGATCCACTCCTTACCCCTTGGCTGACCAGGTCACACCACACCCCTACTCAAAGCCTTCAGACTGTTGCCATTGTTTGGTGCCAAGGACTCAGGTTGACATTGAAAGTCCTGGCTACCATGGCCCCAGTCAATGACTCTGTTATTTAATACAGCCTAGGAGAGCCTTCCAGGCTACTCAGACTCAAATTTCTTACTTACCCTTAAATGTGCTCAAAAGATGTAAGTCCTAGTGTTTTTATGTGGTTTCTTCCTGAGAGTTTGTACTATTTGTTCAAAGTCTAACTCAGTCGTCACCTCCACAAAAATTGCACTAATGATTCAACAAATTGTTGGAACTATTCTTCCTCTCTGAAAACCCAAGCACATTATTAATGCCCCTCTGTGGTATAAAACTCAACCTTAGTTTCATCTGCATTTTTTCCTATGACCACACAAAACTGGCTCATCAAAGGATTGTTTTACTTTGTGCTTCCTACTGTGTCCTCTGAACATAGTTGGAATGTATATTTGTTACATGGGTTTCTATGTGTATAAGCAAGTAAAATCCAAAATATTTAGTAGCAAAGAATGTCTAACACTATACTCATGTCTCAAAAAGTAAGGCATGCTTATAATGTCTAAGAAAAAAATTTCAGCCCTGAAAACATTGTGATTATGTGTCATGTTGTCAGAAAAACAAAGTTAAAAGTCTATAATGTTTTCCAGCCTACTTGCATTACAGGTATTTTATACACAATGGGCCCAGGGCAAAAATCAACATAATATTTACAGACTTTTAATTGACACTTAAATGGCAGGTAAAAGGCAAGTGGTTTTGCTATAAAATAGGCTACACATTGAGTCCAGCAAGACTATCACATTTCTCTTTAAGAATCTTTTGCTAAGACAACATGTCACAGATGGGGTCAACTACAAAGACTCTTTAATCACCCAAGGTGCTGGCCCTAAGACAGAGCTCTGTTTTGGAGTATACCTCAGAGCTTCTTTAGTTTCCCTGGTCTTTGTCTGCTTTCCAAACCATCAGAAATGCAAAGTTAAGTCAGCATAAGGCTGAGAAAGGATAATTATTGGATGGATCCAAAATATCTTTGAATACAGCTGCATTCAAAGATTGGTAT